ATAGCTAGATCACTACCATGATCCTTTTAAACATTTATACATCACCAATCCACAGCTAGATCACTACCATGATCCTTTTAAACATTTATACATCACCAATCCACAGCTAGCTCACTACCATGATCCTTTTAAACTTGTACATCACCAATCCATAGTTAGATCACCACCATGATCCTTTTAAAAATTTATACATCACCAATCCAGAGCTAGATCACTACCATGATCCTTTTAAACTTGTACATCACCAATCCATAGTTAGATCACCACCATGATCCTTTTAAAAATTTATACATCACCAATCCAGAGCTAGATCACTACCATGATCCTTTTAAACATTTATACATCACCAATCCACAGCTAGATCAATACCATGATCCTTTTAAACATTTATACATCACCAATCCATAGCTAGATCACTACCATGATCCTTTTAAACATTTATACTTCACCAATCTATAGCTAGATCACTAACATGATCCTTTTAAATATTTATACATCACCAATCCAAAGTTAGATCACTACCATGATCCTTATAAACATTTATACATCACCAATCCACAGCTAGATCACTACCATGATCCTTTTAAACATTTATACACCACCAATCCACAGCTAGATCACCAAACTTGTACATCACCAATCCACAGCTAGATCACTACCATGATCCTTTTGATTTATACCTGCTTCTAGAGGTGTGAGGATTGACTCAAATATTTGATATAATCAATTACCTATGAATATTAATTACATTGATTAGTATCATTTAAAATAATTAATTAACATTATGACTAAATCAATTAATGTCAGGAATATGATCAATCAATGTTTCTAATTATTAAGGTTTTCAATAATTCCAACAACCCACCAATCAAAATTTCAATTAAATTCATTAATGTCATGAAAATAGTAAACTAGTGTTTTAGTTATTAGTATTTTAAATTATTCCACCTATTCAAGTAATTGAAATATGTTTGTTTGTTGTTAAGCACAAAGTTAGAAAATGGGCTATCTGTGCTCTCTCTACAAACCTTATCCTCATTTGTAGAATTCTAAGTAGTAGTCATGGTAGTGATCTAGCTATGGATTGGTAATGTATAAACGTTTAAAAGAATCATGGTGGTGATCTAGCTATGGATTGGTGATGTATAAATGTTTAAAAGGATCATAGTAGTAATCTAACTATGGATTGGTGAAGTATAAATGTTTAAAAGGATCATGGTGGTGATCTAACTATGGATTGGTAATGTATAAACGTTTAAAAGGATCATGGTGGTGATCTAACTATGGATTGGTGAAGTATAAATGTTTAAAAAGATCATGGTAGTGATCTAACTATGGATTGACGATGTATAAATGTTTAAAACATCATGGTAGTGATCTAACTATGGATTGATGATGTATAAATGTTTAAAAAAATCATGGTAGTGATCTAACTATGAATTGGTGATGTATAAATGTTTAAAAGGATCATGGTAGTGATCTAGCTCTGGATTGGTGATGTATAAATTTTTAAAAGGATCATGGTGGTGATCTAACTATGGATTGGTGATGTACAAGTTTAGTAAATGAATGTTACTGTGATAAATGTGTTCTTGAAACACTTGTAAGACTTCCTGATTATGAAAAAAAAATTGCTGAATTTATAGTTTTGATACATATGTATTAAAAGTTAAACTTTTTTTTTCATTTCAGCCAGAAAATTTGCTGTATTATAGTCCAGACGAAGATTCCAAAATCATGATAAGTGATTTTGGATTATCTAAAATGGAAGATTCAGGAATCATGGCCACAGCTTGTGGAACACCAGGATATGTTGGTAGGGAATTTGTTCTAGACCAATGGGGATTGATTAGGTTACTGCTTGACTGTTCTGTATAGGTAGGGAATTTTTTCTAGAAAAACGAGGATTGATTAGGTTACTGCTTGACTGTTCTGTATAGGTAGGGAATTTGTTCTAGAAGAACGAGGATTGATTAGGTTACTGCTTGACTGTTTTGTATAGGTAGGGAATTTGTTCTAGAAGAACGAGGATTGATTAGGTTACTGCTTGACTGTTTTGTATAGGTAGGGAATTTTCTCCAGACCAATGGGGATT